TCCTTCTCTCCTAAGTCCGCTAAAGCGCAAGAAATGCAAAAGGCTCTTGCACCACGAACATTACAACGTGTCAACTATTTTAAGCCATTTAAAGCCTCAGTACAAATTATAACCATGGGAGTACATCAGGTTCACGTAATTTTAGTTTAAATCATTACCTTTCTTCAATGTATGCTTGTTTGTCTGAGCATATATACTAGAACATTGACGTATTTCACCACTTATGCTTTTCTCAATGAACATGTCAAGACAAGAGAGAGAGAAATAAAGAGAGAAATAAAGTTACACTTATCGTGGTATGCTTTAGTATTACATCCTGCGTCAAGCCTGGGGTAGTTGTAGTATAGTAGTGAGCTGGATCTAGTTTATAAGTATCAAGACAATTATCTCTAAAACTTTTAGAGACTTCAGGTTAGAGAAGCGTAACAGTCTTGAGATACAGATCAGACTACTGTCCAAGATTTTTAATGCTCCAAGTGTACCACACTTCCTGTGCAAGCTCATAGTCTTCGCTGAAGTTGTGCAAATTAAACAGTTTGGTACGAAATTCATCTTTTGATAAGAAAATCACGAAGTCATGAAGCTTCTCATACGATGCCACGTAGTCGTAAGAGAAGACTTATTTTTCTTTTAACAAATTGATTTGATTTATTGAATACTGATCGTCACCGTTGAACACATGCTCTAAAATCTTATGACTGTATAGATAAAAGGAAAGTTTCTCAAATGATGATGGCATGAGCTTGAAAGAATCTATGAAGTGTAAGTTCATGTCTGTGGTTCATCATGGTTTACACTGGTCTTTGGGACACATACCCTATAATTGTCTAAGGAGAGCTCTTCGATCTGTTATCAAGGATAATGATGTTATATACTTCAAAAGAAAAGAGAAACCCAAATGGCTAGAAAGAGTGTTAACATCAAAGTAAGTACATAAAATACGTCTGGGTTACACCTAATTAATCGAAATATTTTTTTCCTTTTTCTAGTTACATCATAAGCATTGAGAGCTTGTGATGCTCATAGTTGGGTACACTATCACAGGACTTCTACATGCGCTTAAACTATAGTTTGAACTTCTATTTTATGTGATGTGCAGGTACAAACACATTGGAATTGAAGACATGGCTACAAGTAGATAATTACTGTTGTACGCATAACCTTTCAAATATATATGGAGTAAGATACATTTTGCTCAATACTCTTAAATTATCGTTTGGCAAAAGTTTTAGTTAAAGTAAAATAGCAGGTGACAATGAAGAATTTACAATAGTTTTAAATTTAAAAAAAAAAAACATATTTTTTTGAAATGTTTGATGAATTATTGATCATCAAAGTACAGTTGATGACTGGGGATGAGCTGACAGTTATTCGTGTACACGCATGTTGAGACATGTTAGTTGGGAATCATCGTAGAGGTCTGTGCTCTATATATAATTTCGCTGATACTTATATTTGTACATTTTTGAGACCAAACAAGTTGTAAAAACGTTGTTTATAATAGAGTATGTAGCTGAAATAGGCTTCAAGAAGCATGGCTATGGTAATGTGCTCAAGGAATTAGCTTTTCTTTCACTTTACGCAGACTCTGAAGTACGAATTTTTTTTTTTCAAAGCACCGTTTTTCCTGGCGTAAATTAACTCAGAAAAACAAGCATGAAAATTGGTATCTTGACCTTTGCTATCATAAGTTAGCCTGAAATTAAGGTAAAATTCAGTACGCTGAAATAAATAAAATTTTTTGAGAGCAGATAACAGATGCTACCATGATTTTTGTGATCGGAGGTTGAAATTTCTAAGTTACTGACATGACAGATTATCCAACGTTTAAACTTCCAAGACAGGTCACCATTTTTTTTTATCTCACTAAAGCCTGCAAGTCCATGTGTGCTCTGCATAATATTAGACGCATGGAAAAATTTTACTTTCGTATGAAATGGAAAGATGTTGAATCTACATAAGACTCTAATTTTTACCGTACAGGGGTAAAAAATTGTTGGTTGTACCTTACAAATACAGGCGTATGGCTGTGGCTATTATTTAAAATTTAAATATCATTTAATTTAACTACAATTGACTGTTTTTAGAGCCATCAATATTTAAACGTAAATTACATTCATAATAACAAAGTCGCGCATTCTAGTGGCTCTGATTTCGCGCTCAATCCCACGTTCACTACTGTCCACTAGGTGGCGTGTTACTTACGGGCGAGCTATTAATCATAGTTAAAGTATTGAGTAGTGCCTGCTTACTCGAATTCCAGCATGTCAACTCATGATAGCCACCAAAGAGGTCATGAGCTACGATGTTGCGTCGACGGTGATTATCGATATGGAGGTTTTCGACTTTACCTCACCACTACTGTCCACAATATCAGAGATGCGAAGCCCCTCAAAAGTCCACTCTGATTTAAGATCATTGGCAGAGTGGGATTTGCACTATAAGTGTTTCGAAACACTCAAGTATAGGAGTGTAGAGATTTCACCTTTCCCCACTCCACCCACTTCACTAGTGATCGACTTATTGTCTCTACCACCAGTGGTAGATTTGACTATTTTTTTTATCACTAGTCAACGCTCTCTTATTGATTGAGCTCCTCTTCAGAGAGGTCAAATCATTTAGTGAAGGGAAAACGTTAGTGAGCCCAATGTGGTGGCGATGAAGAAGAAATTTGCTAAGTGAATCTTCGAAGAGTAAAGGTGAAATCGGCCCTATTCAGAGCCATAAGTCGACCTTTTTGAGGGCCACAAATAAATTTCAGACAAAATATATTTTTTCAGGGGTATAAAAAAAAGTCTTTAACAGCTCAACTTTATTTAATTTGGACCCTTTACCATGGCATCCATTACTAGCAAGCAATTGAGCCACTGAGGACTTGTTTGCTTGAATGGTTCTTTGAACCTTTGTCTTCCACATATTGCTAATATGAGCATAAGAATAGTGGTAGTCATCCATAAGGCAACCAAACAATTCTGTATTAGTATAGGTACTTGAAATTTCTCCAATAGCACACTCGGCAGTGTGCCTGACTATTACCCTGGAAATCAAAGATCAAATCCTATTGAGTGCACCCAAATTTTTATCTTACTAACGTGTAAATTAAAGTCCCTGAAACAGTTGTAATTGCTAACCACGAAAACTACTCAACTAATCTTGCTAGAGCTTAGCAAACTGATTCTTGACTCTTCCTAAATAGTTTTAGTACAGTTTCAATCTTCAAAAAACTAATAATAAAAGCAACAAATAAGCTTACAATTTTGTAAAAATACGCTAGCTTTTCAGTTTAACTCAATACGATCCACTAGATGGCTTAAAAGTAAAATCAAAGATACCTGCAATATAATTAAGTAAGTCTGATTTTTATATCCCCGAGTAAAGTACTGAATACCACAGTTGATCATTGACAGTGCACGAAGCAAAGGTAAAATAACTAAGTCTGCAAAAAAAAGATGATTTAGATGCCAACGTCTTTGGTATAACTTCAGGAGACGTTGAGAAAGAGCTCTACAAGTAGCTCTAACGCTTAAGACGTTGTAGTTTCCCTCCCGGTTAGTTTGGTGCGACAATAACAGATCAGAGAAGATCACCCTGAGGTATGGATACAGTTACGTTTGCTAGAAACTTCAGTTAAGATAGAGTTTACTTAAAAAGCTTACCAATCCTTGGCCATTGGACGTCGAGCTACATTGCCAACAAATAAGTATATTTTAACTTTAAAAAGTTGACAAAAACAGCTCTCAAAAGTCTTAACTATGCCAAAAGTCGCAAGAGGGCAAATTGGAAGGAAAATTTCAAATACAACTAATGTATACAACTTTAGGCGTCAAGAAACTTTTATCGGGACACGGAACATTCGTTGAGATTGAAGCAGCAGCATCAAAATCAACAAATAGAGAATTTATTAAGTGAGAGATTAGCTCTTCATTATCACCTTTGCAGTAATCTCCTAGATCCTCCAGATTCTTAAATAAGTAGAATATATATTTGTATTTTTGTGGCGATAAAAAATGTAAGGATTAGACTCCAAGACTTCTTGTAGCATAAGAACGAATGGTACTTTTCAGCATTTTTATATTTTTTTCGCTTTAGATATCTCATATTTTGATCAAATAAACTGTATGGATTCCAGACAAGTATGTTCTTTAATAAGAAAATTTTGGTTTTGAGAAGTGTAAGAAATAGATGTAAAGTTTTTAACTAAAAACGTTTCATATTACATGTCAACACGCTATCGTGCTTCATCTAGTGCGTCTTCGGTAAAGCCAAGACAGGGACCGCTAATTTCTCTAAGTAAAATTAAGAAAAAGTTCATTATTTAATATTCTCTACCGANTTAGCATTAGCCAATACGATTTGTTCTACACTAACCATTTTTTTAGGTAAACGTAAATATTTTGTTTGAATAAAAAAACTTAAGTAGAAAATATTTTATCCTGAACAGTAAATTTAAAAAATTAGTATTCTCGACGAATCATTCACTAACATCCTTTTTAACAAGAGGACAAATAAGTGAATTATGAAACACTCTAAAATCTGATGAGGGCAGCCAGGTTAGGCCCTGCTAGTCCCAATATCGCTGGTGATAGATATAGCTATAGTTCAATGAGGTGTGCCAGCGAGCTATAGTGAGATATAGCTATAGTTGAACAAGCTGCGCTAGAGTGATGTAGCTATAACATGAGATGTAGTGATTGTTTAACGAGCGGTATTAGCGCGTTATAGCTATAGCTATTAAGGCATAGCTAGTGTACCATGAGCTACGCGAGCGATATATAGCTATATTCCCACGAACTGCGCCAGAACCACTACTGATTCTACTACGCCAGAACGTCTATATATCCCAATAGCATGGGGTGCGCCAGTACTCTCATAGCTTATCTACATTTCTGGATTCTAGCAAAATTAGATTTCATTCTAACATTTTTTTAGATTTATTTATGCAAAAATTTTTCATCTTTATTTAAAACGTAGTAAGAATTTCGATAACGTAAAAAGCTTACGGCCTGGTCAGAGCCAACAAAGGATACAGCTTTTATGTCAGGATTATCACAAATGAAGTTGACAGCCTCTTTTTCACCATGTATGATATTTAAGAGGCCAGGTGGTGCACCAGCTTCACTAAATAGTTCTGCCAGTATTAAAGAGGCTCCAGGAGTTCTCTCGGATGGCTTGAGGATAGTTGCATTACCACAGGCTACGCTGATTGGAAACGTCCAAAGTGGCACCATAGCTGGAAAGTTAAAAGGGCAGATGGATGCAGTAATACCCAAAGGTACTTTGTAGGATATAGTGTCCATGTCAGTGGCGATGTTGTTGATAGATTCACCTAGTAGCAGACTTGGAATCCCAGCACAAATATCAACAATTTCTGCAGAAATGAGCATAATTTATTGAATCAATAACACAAGTGTTAGTCTCTTATAAAAATTAGTGTAAAGCAACTAAGAGTCGAAAATATTTTTGCTAATTTGTAGATGAAAAATAAATAAATACGTACAATTTTAAACAAAAAAAGTTATATAATTAGCTTAAAAGGTGAAAATTTCATACAAGCGTGTGAGAAAAAACATTTTTTCAAAAACACTTACACAATATTTTACAATATTTTACTATAACTTAATTTCATTTGATGTAGAATGACGATAAGAAAGAGAAAAAGTCATAGTTATTCTATCTAACTACTATTATTCTGACAATACAAAAAATTAAATAGATATTGGCAATTTTATAGAAAATCTGACCGCAAAATAACAGGATGAATCCTTTAACACAGATCAATGCACATAAAAAAGTTAATCAATAAACTTCTGTAAGCCCTCTTTTTAGATTGTCAGTTCTCTCATAATCATTTCGTATATCATTAAATTATATATGTTCATAGGCATAGAAGTCTGGCTCTAGTTTCAAATTAAATAACATTCTGTTTTAGTCATTTTGAAGAATAATTTTATGTTTTTATGTGAATTAAAATTAAGTTATCTCGTTAATCTGAACTATCTTCTGTACTCATTATTTTAAGTTGGTATGCACAAGAATAAAAATAAATTTAAGCAATAATTTACTTTTAACACTTCAGTATATATTTATATTAAAAAAAATTGTTGTTACACGAGTTATTGTGTTTTTTTTTTTTTTTCGTAGGTTGTGAAAAATTTGGATTGTTATGAAAATATTCAGAATTTCTTAAACAGCTTGCTATCTAAATCTTCTGATAAACAATGACTTATTTTCGTAAAATTGCTTTATACATGTGTATGTAGAAAAAGAATCTTTACTTACGAAGACCACGTAAGACATCACCTTCTGCATCGGCAAGAGTCTTTCCATTTTCTTTTACTATATTCATTACAAGTTTTTCCTGTCAATAAAGTCAGATGTTATAAAAAGTATGTTTACTTTAAGAAATACTGGAATCTAAAACTGTACAATTTTACATATAAATATTCGTCATTAGGAAAATAAAGAAAAAAATACGAACTGCATTTTCACGGATAAGACTCTGATATTTGAGCATCAAACTCTGTCTTGTTAAAACGCTACTTTTCTTCCAGATTGCAAAAGCTCCCTTTGCACTTTCCACAGCTTCTTGCATCTCATGCTCAGTGCTTTTAGGTGTACGATATATGAGCTCATTATTGGCTGGATTATACACATCGATTAACTCTGTACTTTTCGAATCTGTATTTAAAAGTTATTTGTTATTATTTTCTTTGTACCTTATTTTAAGCTTATTAAACCTAACGAAATTTGTATTGAAATGAATTTTTAACAATTTTACAAAAACTCTTAAGAAACTTATCTTAGATCTTTTTTTTAGAAAAGTATCCTAGACGTTACTGGGTTCTTTTCTAAAATTTGCTTAGAGTGTGTTTTTGAAGCATTTTTATCCCAAAAGTGTTGGCCTTGGTAGAATTGCAAAAAAGTGTAAGTCAGAAGTTAAGGTTAAAGTAAGTGTGGTAAATGAAGAACAGAAAGCAAATCCCGTTTTAAGTTAGTACTGGTTTTACCAAAGAAGAGTTCATTTTTGTAATAATGGAAAACCTATACGAAAAATATTTTAAAATAATGATAACACTTTGGAATGGATGTAAATTTATACGCAAAATCAGAAGTCACTTCATATAATATTTAGTAGGTCTGTAGGCTATTCATGGTAACGAAATTCAAAAAATTAGCATTAGCCAATACGATTTGTTCTACACTAACCATTTTTTTAGGTAAACGTAAATATTTTGTTTGAATAAAAAAACTTAAGTAGAAAATATTTTATCCTGAACAGTAAATTTAAAAAATTAGTATTCTCGACGAATCATTCACTAACATCCTTTTTACCAAGAGGACAAATAAGTTTCCACATAAATAGTTTCAATTTTAAATTCATATAAAATGTAACATAATAAGACTTTTGTAAAATAAATAACTTTTAAGTTTTGATTTTAACCAAAAGTAGATACTGCATCGGTAAAAAATAGACAAGAAATGTCAGCAGCAGTTAACTATGGTAGCAGTCTGGGCTTTGGGATAGCCAGAAAATTCTTGAAGTTCCACCTGTAAGTCAGAACTTCAGTGATCCTGTAGAGGGAGGAATGGGCCAATAATCACTTCTGCTTAGAGGTCACATCGTTCGTCGTGGTGAGAAAAACACTCTTTAAGCATGCCTTTAAGTAAGTGCTGGACTCCTGTAAAGAGGGAGTGGGACCGAAATTCTTAGGCTTCGTCAGCCAGGCAGGAGAGTTCGTGCCACCAGAGAGCGAGGTCTTACAATGAAGCAACGGTGGAATCACGTGAGGCACAGTCAGCGGGATTCTAAATAGTTGGCACGTATTGCCAGATGGTCATAGGCAAAAGGGCGTGAATCTAGCTAAAACTTTTAGCAGTAAAAGTTTTTTATGGCATTGGATGTCCTCTGAGCCGGGAAAGTCAGAATTTGTTGAACAGTAGAATTTGGTAACATCAGGGATAATTTCAGTTGACCTAAATGAAGTTATATGGCAAGCAACTGTGCCTCAGAGAGTTTCAGACGCAGGATGTTCAGGGCCCTAATCAGCGAGACTCTTGATTTGGTGATCAGGAGATGTGATTGGCTGCTTATCACAGTATGTGTCCTGAAGTTCACGAGAGCTGCATAAGCTTTCTAGAAGGCACTCAAGAAGCCATGGAGTCCTAGCGTAACTTCAGATGTAGTTCCGAACCACCAGGGAACGCGTATGCCCGTGAGAGTAAGCAGGTCAGTCTTGAACCTCATCCAGAGTCCGAAAAGATTTAATAAAATAAGACGTCCAATGACAGTTGGTTGATAATTAAAAATAAGGTCCAATGGTGGTACAGTCAAATTTTGTATTTATTGAAAAACAAAACGACGTTTCGGCCGTTTGGACTATGTCCCGGCTCTCATCAGGTAAAAATCTATGAGTAATAAAAAATTCTTTACAATACAAATTTTGGTAAATACAATAAACTCAAATTAAGTGAAGTGTACAACATACCTCTGACTCCTACGAAAGGGATGTAAGATCGTAATGTAGTCAGAGTCTCAAGTTTAGTTGCTTTTATACCTTGCACATACACAAATGACATAGTATACGCACGTAATACAATCAAAGCACAATTGCAAGCAGTTCTTTATAAGACGCACATAAACAGTTTATGTTTTCCTAATACTATAAATGATAAGGGCCCTCAAATACTAACAACTTTCCTCAAACATTGATTGATAAATTTTCAAGAATAAATACCTTAAAAAACATTAATATGATTTGCAATCACAATAAAAATAACTATAATAATTGTGAACTAATCTTATCATTACCGTATATTTCCTACTTGCACGGTTCTACTAAATATTGTTGTAAGAAGCTTCACATTGGTCTTGTATACAGTTTAAACAATAAATTAAGTTCGATCTTTCTACTTGGAAAATATGTAACCGAGCTACTCGATAAAAATAATATCTTTGACCACAAACCATGAGTGAATTGCAACTGCTGTTATGTCAGTCATAGATTGAGAGCTGTAAAATTAAGAATGACAGAACATAAAAGAGACATAGAGAAAGAAGTGATACATATGTACTGTCACAGCATAGCATTGAATTTACGCATAACTTCAGTTTTGATAAAATAAAAATTTTAGACACAGAACAAAATTACAAAAAAGTGCTTTTTTCCAGAATATTAAATATATATTATTTAAATAATAATATTCATAGACAACAAAATACTGAGAAATTGAAAAATTGTTATAATTCTCTCGTTAAGTCAATTAAGAAAGGAGACTAACTTGATGTACATGATTTGAGGGCCTTTTTCATTTATGGTATTAGGAAAACATGAACTGTTCAAGTGCGTCTCATGAAGAACTGCTTGTGATTCTTATTTGATTGTATTACGTACGTATATTATGTTATTTGTGTAAGTGCATGGTATAAAAACAACTAAACTTAAGACTCTGACTACATTACGATTTTACATCCCTTTCGTAAGAGTCAGAGGTGTGTTATACATTTCACTAAATTTGCGTTTATTGTATTTACCAAAATTTGTATTGTTAAGAATTTTTTATTACTCATAGATTTTCACCTAATGAGAGCCAGGATATTGTCCAAATGGCTGAAACGTCGTTTTTTTTTAATATGTACAAAATTTGACAGTACCACCATTGGACGTTATTATAAACGGAAAGGTTTAAGTGGAGTGGTTGGTCTCAGTCAACTCTTATTAGCCCAAAATCTTGCAAGAGGATCTTGGCTCACTTAATGACAGGAGCCAGGAAGCCTAAAAGGTCATAGAGTCTGGCTACATGAGGTAGCACAATGGTGCCAACAGACAGCGAAAGCTCAACAGATTCCGAGGTAGTGGAAGTGTGGAGGATCCTAATTTTCTTGGAGTTCAAGTCCCACTCACAAATAGCCATACTTGCTGAAGTCATAATATTGATCAGCTCTCAAGCATTCTTGCAGAGATTGGACTCCATGTTATCATTTGAGAAGAAATCGTTGCCATGATAATTTTAATGAATGATCGATGAGCTAAGTGGGCACTGGTATACTTCTTGTTCAGTGAGGGCTTACATGTAGGCGCTGACACCGAGCCATAGGAGGCCGTACTGAGAGTGCCAAATGGGTGCACCTGAATGGTCATGCCACACTATCCTCTGCCAGTTAGTGTCAGCAGGATCAACGAGGAACTACCCAAACATCTTGACAATATCGCAGATAAACACATATTCAACGAGCCACCAGCGTAATAACACTGCTAGCAAGTCCAGAAAGAGGTTTGATCTGGTTTTGCATGAAGCTGTTGAGATTCCGGCCATTGCTATCTTTGGATGAAGTGCCAAAAACAACGTGACCTCTGGTGCACGAACTGTCCTGAAGTATTACATAGTGAGGTATGCAAATAGACAGCTTCGCCAACTCCCGCTTAGGAGAAATGGGGACCATATGCCCTATGTCTTTGTACTGATTCATGAAGCAACAATAAAGCTGACATAGCACTTCGTCCTTGGCTAGGTATCTCTCAAGAGTGACAGGAGGTTTGTTTGTAGTCTCTCTGGAGCTCAGGAAGCTTGAAACCCCAATAAAAGGCAGCCTGACGACGAAGTGGCCAGCCCTGTCACATTTGACAGTGGATTTGAAATACTCGTCATACTTGGTTTCATACGGGAAGAGCCTTTTGAGTAAAGGTAACTTCTCTATTTCCAAGAACCGCTGAAGGGTCGTAGAGAGCTCCTGGTTGACTGTAAGAGTGAAGGATTAAGTAGAAGGTATCTTAGATTGTTGTACTTGGGTACCACCAATGAGCACCCAGTCAAACGTTGTGTTGAAGGCTGATGGCGAGCCTGTTGAGCCAGTTATGAAGCAACGTCACAGGGTAGCAGCAAGGATCTCGCAGTTGCAATGAGAATCAGCTAACTTGATATTTTAAAAGTGAGGGCAGGAGTTGATCTTGACCGTCAGCGATGGAAGTAACGAAGCCGCTTCTTCATGGTCAGAGCCTTGAACGAAGCACCAACAAATGTGTTAGCCATGGACTTGACATAGAGAGCCACCCAGCTCTTGGTGATTGATGCCGCATCTCTAACACCATTGACGGCTGGGCAAGTAGGGTTGATTGTGGCATTTAAAGCGCAAGCGACGTGCATTGCTATGTAAAACTCCTGGGAGTAGGAATCAAGGAGGGCTTGAGCCAAAAGCATAGCACAAGAGCTCATGTTGTGCTTGGCTGAATAGTAATAGCACTCCTAAAGGAGTCTAATTTGTTTAGAATTGGTGTCAGGATGAGTAGTGGTACTCGTACGCTTAGACTAGCTTTCTTTGGGCTATGACGATCCTGAGTTGGCTACCTCATCGATCTTCTAGTTTGAAATGGCCAAGCGGTCCAACGTTTTGATGCGCTTCTTGATGAATTTGCGAAGTGACTCGTAAGAAGCGAACGCGACGTTATCCATCCCAAAATTTCTGGCCTAGTCTAACTGTGTATTAAGTGGCAGCTTACTAGTTATGCAGTAGACAAAAAGGGAGTTACACTGTGAAAGAGAGGCTTGATCAGTGCTTTAAAAGCAACTAAACTCTCGCTGACCATTAAAACTAGCTGTGTGAAATGAGCCACAGTCTCCATCGAGGCAGGTGGCAGCTCCAGTATGGCTTTGAGACAACACAAGCATATCACAGATAGTGC